ATCCATATATTTTGTACCATTGTCAGTTCACAAAATCTTAACTTTAGCACCAAACTGTATACATATCATTTTGTAAAAAGATTGAAAATATGAAAATATATTACCTTTTTGCTTTTAACAGATAAATCCATGTTAATCTACTACAACAGTCAATAAAAGTAACAAACCATCTATGACCAGAAAGAGAGGTATTCTGAGTAGGTCTCCACACATCAAAGTGAATAGTCATAAAAGGATCAATACTTCTATTATTATTTAAATGATAAAAGCTCATCTTATGTTTAGCAAGTTCGCATGCATTACAAAACAAACACTTCATGAAAGTTCTTTTAAATAACTTAGAATATAATTTTTCTAAAATTAAAAAAAAAAATGTCCTAATCGTCGGTGTCATTATAGTATCTCCATATTGACTTCTTTATTTTCAATGGTTACTTGATTTCCAATTAAATTTAAATGTCTATCCAAGACATGTAAGTCATCTTACAATTTACCAGTGTCAATCCTCTTTCCGGTTTGAAAATCTTGAAAGATGCAATGATTAAGAAAAAATTCAATTTTAAGGTTGAAATCTCTAGTTATGACACTAATAGTTAAAAGATTGTCAGAAAATCTAATCACATATAAATCTGAAGACAGTGTAATAGTAGAAGTATAATTAATAGAACATGTTCCCAATACGGGGGTGTATGACCCATCTGCTATACGGACATTATTTCCTTCAGTACAAGAAAAATATGTTAAAAATTCTTTAAAAGAACCTGTCATGTGTTTGTTAACTCCATAATCTATAATTCAATTATCATGAGTGGAAATAGGATGAGCAATACCTGATTTTATTATATTTGATCTGCTAACAATTGATGGAGAGTTAAGTTGACTCAGAAATCGCTTCAGATTTTGAATTTATTCTGTGGAAAAGTCTTCAACGGATGGTGAACTAGGTGTTTCTCTAATTTCAACAAAATTTGTTTAAGCTCTTGTGGTTCCACCTCTTCTTCCTCCCCGACCACTAATTGGTCTTCCATGCAACTTCCAACAAGTTTCCCTAGTGTGTCTTGACTTGACACAATAGTCACACTTCCATATATCTCTGAATTGATCAGACTGAACCACTAATCCAGTTTTATCAACTGGTGCAATGTGAATCATAACATTTATTCTGCTCTCTTCTTATTGAACATAAGCATAAATTTGTTTTAATAAAGGAAATGAATCCTTACCAAACATTTGGACCCGTATTTGATCATATTCGATGTTCATACCAGTTAAAAAATTATAAATTAGCTCTTTTTCTAACAATTTCTGAAATTTAACTGCATCTGCATGACACTCTACTTGAAAATCTTGATAGTAATCTAACTCCTGTCTAATCCATTCAGTTCAGAAAAATATTGAGAAATAGTCATCTCTTCTTACTTTGTGCCATGAACTTTATTACGGAGTTCATAAATCTAAGCGTTATTATCTATCTGTGAATATGTAAGAGATGTTGCATTCCATATTTTTTTGGCAGTGTTAAGCAACAAATATGTTCTGCCAATATGGGGTTGCATGGAATTTATGAGTCATGACATTACCAATGAGCTCTCAAAGTTTCATTTATTATATTCTAAACTACCAACATTTAATTTCTTCACCTCACCAGTAATGTAACCCTACAATTCTCTATATTTGATGAACAATAAATAAGATCTCGACCAAATAAGATAATTAGTTCTATCAAGTTTTAGGGGACTGATTTGTAGTGAAGGGTTATTAAAACTAGTAGCACTCACATTTTTTTCTTTTATCATTTTAGAATTCTAAAAAAAAGAAGGAAAAATATTTAGTAATGAAAAACGAACCTCCTATCTGCACCAATGAGCCAAAAAAGAATATAAAAAAACCAAAAAAAGGACAAAAAAACTGGAACTTGGCAATATTCCACCATTTTTGGGCCGAATGGGATGAAGCCGGTGGCGCGTGTGGTCACGCGCCTCTACTACCGACGCGCATGTGGCGAACGTGCTCAGAAACTGTAGCTATTCTGGTTGGGGTTGAGCGGCGACTCCGTTTAGCTGATGTTGGGTTTGGTTTCTTTGGTAGTTGAGTACCAACTTTGACATATTTTGACCGTAAAATAATCTTCCTTTGACTCTGATACTATGAAGTTTTTGGAGAAAATAAACTTCTAATTTTATTACTTATTTCTTATATTTACATTTAAAAGATATATATAGAGTGGTTATCCTTATTTTAATTTAACTCTAATTATAAGATATAATTATATCATTACAACTCTAACTAATATAATATTCTACTTAGCATGAAATCTTTATCAACAAAAACGAATTCGACTGCTAGTGTTTTTCGAATCTATTGGCCACTAGAACTAATAAATCATCATCCTTCTTTGCTTCATGTTCTTTTGTTTGATATTCTGATTACAAAGGTTAATGGTACTTCAATTTGGAAGAAAAGAATATCGTAGTCTATCACCTGGTTATTTCAAGAACATATTTTCCCTTATCCAAATTTATGCTACATGTTTCTCTATCCTTGCTTTCTTCATCTGCTTTTTGAAATCCCTTGTTGAATGGACCTTCATATTTACTAGACAGAAATATTATCCCTCAATTTAAATTACCACTAACAGCTTGCCATTTAACTCCCTCCTCTGATCCATCTCATAATGATTCTCCAGCTCATTAACTTTCTAGCTCTAATCTGAATCCCAAACCCCTCCTAACTTATCACACCAGATATGAACCAAATAAATATAACTCTAACCTTATGGATAAAACCGCCATGAAAGCTACTCAACAAAATAAATGTGACTCTATTCAAGTACATTACAATAACTTGCACATTTTTCTCCAAATTGAGTCAGTACAAAACAGAACTTCCACAAACACAGAATCAGGAGAACTGGCAGATTTTGACAGTATAAACAGGAATATCTTTAACCCATATCAAGATTCTGTTAAAAAAACTACCTCGACATCAACTATATCTTTTATTGGAATATGCTATATCCATCAGAGATTATTCCATTTTCAATAGCTTATTTTTCCAAGAAGTTAAGAAAGCTAACACATCATAATATGGTGGTACCATCAATAAGAAAAGGCAGAAATATTACCCAACTAAATCGGCAGCAAGAACTGAACGTAGCAGCTCTGTCCGTGATGGCAATGTTCTATGGATTTCCGATGAAGGGAATGGTGTGTGGAGAAACCAGCCAACTTTCATACTACTGTTATATTCTTTAAGGCACTTTGGAAGAAACATAAGATGATAGTCATGACACCAGACAACATCACCCTCTTCATAATGTTTATTGACAACATCAGCAAACATTTGATTTGCCTTCTTATATGCAGCAAACTGAGACTGGAAACTTCTGGTGGTGGCAAGGCGATCTTCTTGTGGAAGTCCCAAGTAATGAAAAAGAGGCCAAAGAATGTTATTGCAATAGCCATTATAGTACTGATGAACAATCTCTTCATCAAGGAACACTGGAATACACCTCTGCAATTTTGTTCAACCCATAGCAGTTCAAAAATAAATCATAAGGAAATCTCAAAATTGAAGGCATCAATAATTAAAATCTGGAATCATACATGACAGTTGAAAAATATTCAATTTTTAAAAAGACCTTTTCAGCTAAAGCTTTGGTGAGTGCCTTCTGTCCAACCTCATCTGGCACATTCACTCCAGCCCATCCTATCCATCTTGCCTCAAACTCCTTCACACCTTTGAAAAAATTAATGCAAATGCATTAGGTTCCTAGTACATGTAAAACAACAGAAGCAAATAAGCTAAAGAGCAAAAACTAACATGAAAACAAAACCTGAATCATTAACTGGACCATAATAAAACAAAGAAAGAACATTTCATTATAAAAATAATTAAAAAAAAAAATAGATTGCTACAAAAGAACGAGGATGAAGAGGCAACTTACCCAGAAGGGCACTAACCAGACCCCCAGCACTAATCTCAAGGGACCAAGAGTCTTCACCTCTTCTAACAGCAGAAACCGGCAACCTATTAGCCACCACCAGCAGTCGTTGCCTGTTGTAAGGCCTTACATCTTGTCTATCACATCCCTCAGCTTGTGCCCTTGCAGCCGCAGCCTCCTCCAAGAATCGTTCAATGTAGGACCTGGAGTTTTCACCTTCACCTAAACGTAAGTCATGATCAGAGAATTCAGTTCCCCGATTATTACCAGTCACTTCATTAGAGTGTGAAGCAGCCCAACTACTCTTTCTTCGATCTCTAAGCTCTTTTTCTCTCAATAACCTTCCTGTCCGAGTCTGAGGTATGTGGGTTGAATTCGTGTTATACTTGTTTCCAGGCATACGCTCCCTCCACAAGGCAAACTCCAATCACAATACCAAGAAAAGCTGCGTCCTACATTTTGTTCGAAGTAAATTAAGCCAACCCAGAGCTAAAAAAAAAATTAAAAAAAAAATTAAAAAATCACAGTCATACTCCATGAAACAATACACAAACAAAACGACAGAAAGGCAGAGAGAAATAAGTCAATAATCAACAACAAAAAGAATGGGATCCACAGAATTTTTGAGGAAGGAAAAAATGGGGTCTACTACATATATGACGTGTTTGTTAAGAGCCCAAGAAATCAAAAAGCCCACATTTCCATCTTCCCCCTCCTCTGTCGAAGAAAAACAGAGTGAGGATTGGCGGAGCTAACAATGAGATGAAAAGAAGCAGGAGTCTCCGTTTTCTTTTCCAAATTATACACACAAAAAAAAACAAACACATTACCTGAATTCAAACAGTGAAAACTTGATTAACCCTAGCTCAATTTTACATGCTCACCAACAAACAGTGACAATAAAAACAAGCAAAATTGGTCGAGATAGCTCAATGAAGCAACAAGGCCCCACTTCCACATGCACGCAAGAAACAAAAACCAAAACGAGGATTCTGTATCTGTACGCTTGATCCAAAAGCTGAATTCGTCGAGATAGGTTCTTATGTTTTCCCTGTGAGTCTGAGAAGAAGAAAAACCAGAGCGAGAGGGAAGAAGGAGACAGCGGGAAAGAGAGGAGTGAAAGTGAGAAGAAAAGGCGAGCAACAAGAACCTCGTGGAAAGCTTGTGATGACAAATTAGAGCCTCACAAGTCTCAACCATGCAGCAGCTGACATCGCCAGTTGAAAAAGCAGAGAAAAATATTAGACCGTAAAAAAAATTCAAAAAAAAAAATCAAATCTCAGTAAAATAATTTATATTTTTTAATTAAAATAATTCAATGATAGAGATTACTGAAATTTGCTGACGCAATCCCTGAAAGAAGATTTTGTAGTGTACCACAACTTTGTCTGTGCGTCCCACCCCCCCCCCAAGGCTGCTTGGCTTCTTCCCGTTGAAGCTAAAATTAGACACACACAGGAGTAATTAATTAATTAATTAATTTTACTTTTAAACTGTAATTAAACATGTTTTTTTAAGTTAATTATGAGAATTAGATTAATATAAGCATTAATTTTGTAGTTTAATTTCAAACTTTATAGTAATTATAATGTAATTAATAATAAAAGTAAAAAGAAAATCTGAATCTAAATTTTGGCAATGATTTTATATCATTACTGTTATTATTATTATTTACCTTTTAAAAAGTCACTATTATAGTCTTAAACAGTAAAAAATCCAACAAAGCTTCTTTTGAAAATATTGTACTCATTGCGCACCACGGAGTACAATGAGTTAATTAACTATTTACCATAAACTTTTAGTTTTTTTTATTTTTTCACTAGTTTAATTTTGAAGTAAAATTAATAATCTAATTTGCTTACCAAATTATTTTAAATTAATTTTTGTTTATTTTTCTCTTGCATCCAGATCAGGTAAAATAAAATAATATATATTTATTATTATTATTTTTTAAATCCAATATTTTATAGAATCAAATTAAAATTAGTAATTACTTATTTAAAAACAATTTAGATGAAATTAAAGCGTTTCACTAACTTGGTTAAAGTTGAAGTCCACCAACTAGTCTAAATTAGGGGCAATTTAGGTAATATAAAAATAATTATTGCGTAATTAATATAAAAAATATTTTAATTAACGGGTTTTTTTGACCAAATAATTATAAAAAAGATGAATAACTGTTATTAAAAACCTAATAATTATCTATGTTAAACATTTACCATGAAATTCATGATTGATTGGGTTAAAAATGATGAAAATGATTATAATAAATTTACCTGGGTAAATTAATGAAACTAACAAAGTAAAGAATTATGTTCAATTTCATGCACTATACATACATACCATAATTCATACATATATATATATATATATATATGTATGGTGGTGCTAGGTAGCTAGTGCACAACAAGGTGATGAATATGTACCTTTATGCCTTTTATATCCCATCCCTCTTTGTTGGGTTCTCATGTGACATCAACAATGTTCATGTGGTGGGGGCTGTTTTTGTTTTATCTTTTCTTTTTTTTTGTTCCCTTTAATTTATCTCTTGTTTAATTACCCATGTTTCATTTATATGCATACTTTATATATATATATATATATATATATGATTTGTTTTTCATGGGTTTAATTTTTGCATAAAAGAATTTGCCAATTAATATTCCGATTTTTGGGTTACTAAAAAAGTTAAATTTTGATGGAAACATATTAAAAGACAAGATAATAGATAGAAGATGCGTATAGTACACCAAAAATATTGTCTTTGTTTAGCCAAAAGTGTATTTAGGATTATTTATAATCTTAATTTAATTAAGGAACAAAATACTTCGCTAATCCATAAAGTTTTAAGCATCAACCATTTGCATACTTTATATTAGGAATAGTCAATTTTATGATATTTATTTAATAAAAATTTATATATTTTATTATTTATTTAATATGTGCACGGTTAGTAATAATATAATTTTATAATAAAGATAAACAGTAACATAAAATATTTTAAAAAAAATTATATGGTTTAATAAAATCAAATAATAAATATTTAAATGATATTATATCCCTAAAATAATTATTTTACTTTATTAGTTTTTTTAGCCTTACGGTATATAATTTTTATTTTATTACTAGCTTTGTGTTATATATATATATATATGTTTTTAATTTATCCTCAGAAGCTCACCTCCTAAATAATTATTGTAATATTGTTAATGGGGTGGTCGGTATATAATACATCTTACATATAATATATATCTATATATATTGAAAGACACATTTTGTGTCATATATATATATATACACACACACACACACACACGTCTTACGAATACAACGCATGCATCCTTTTCACATTCAATTATTGGTTGTGCCCTCGTACGTCGACTATACCATAAAAAATAATTATACATAATTAATGTTTATTATAGAAAGATTATTTCTTAATGAAGGTTGAAAATTCTACATTAAATATGTAGAAAAAGCTGAGACAATTACTTGATTGATAATATATAGTCAAAAACATTGTTTATAATATATATATATATATAGAGAGAGAGAGAGAGAGAGAGAGAGTGAATAAATTCTCACAACATAATGCGAGCATTTAAGTTTAGTGAATAAATAAAAGGGAGACAAAATTCATGCACGTAGGATGGCATCAGCTTTTTGCATGATTCCCTGGCTGCCACTACTAAAAGATTCTTTTATTTTATTTGCATGGCTACCTCATCTTTTCTTTTACTTTTTTTGGGTAATGCTTCGTGACCACATATTTGCCCATATCATATAATATAATATATATATATATATATATATGTATATTATAAATTAAAGTTGCTTTCTACTTTTGAAAAAGGAAATCTCTTTCTATTTCACTCCACTACTCGAATGCTATCACCTTTTTCTTCAACAACATTACTTTCTTACTTAAAACGAAAGGAAATGGCTTCTTTTTTTTTTTCATTAAATTGTAATGTGTGTTCAAAATATTATCATTAAATCAAATAATTTTCTAATTAAATCATTAATTTACTGTTTTTAATGTTATAAATAAATAATAAAAAAAGATAATATTTGTCCATTATTTCTATTACACTATAAATGATATATACATAGACGATGCACAGCAAGTTGACTGACAAGAAAGGAGACAAGAAATTCTTTAGACCCAGACAAAATTTGATGAGACGCATGCACTTTGCTTACAACTACTCATCTTTTTCTTTTGCCCGACTCTCCTTGGGATCCACTTTTTCTTTTTTCTTAAATTATATATAACACAACCACTACTCTCCCTGCTATTATTTCCATCCATGCATGTACATATATACATATGCTTAGTTGTAAATCTTTCTAACTATTTTATATATTTACATTCACAAGTTATTTTAGTGTTATATATACTCTTGTAATTTTCTTTAACTGTCTAATGTTTTTGTCATAAAGTGAAAAATTCTCTTATTCATTCAAGAGATTGTCAGTTTCAATTTATCATGGATATTACAATTAAAAAAATTTATCTAACATAAAAAAAAAAAAAGAAAAAATTCTATTTATAAATATAATAAAATTGTTAAAATTAAACTTAATTTAGTTATTATAGTTTTATAACGTATATTTAATATGTTATATAAATATATATATATATATATATACATATATGTGGGGTAGTATCATACTATGTTCTACGATATACTGTCCCCACCAAGGCCATTAAATATCCATCATGTCTGATGACTGAAAATGTGGAAGAAGAATTCCTATTCTTTCTACATAATGGACTGTCGATCAGAATTGCCATTTGACACAACCCTCGTACGGACGACATGAGTTTGGATAAGTATGTAGGCATTATCCAATACAAACATTAAAGGAATCATCTCATTTGTTTTGGAGATTCCAAAGAATCATATCACATCATGTAATACATACATACATACATACATACATACATATATATATATATATGTGATGTTGAAAAACAAAACTCCTTACCCCACCCGCCAAATCACAACGTCAATCTTTTGTTTTTCCCTTCAACTAATTTGCTTTCTGTTTCTAATTCCAACAAATTTTAATTTTAATAAAAATTCAAATTCCAACCCTCAATTTATAATCTCATCAACTAATACTAAATTAAATTCTTAATTATTTTCCATTAAACAAGCGTTGTATAGAAGTTGGAGTGAAAAATTAACAGCCCCAAGATGTATACTTCAGTCCTTATTTGCAAAAGGTGTCAACTTTAAAAAACTCGAGAAACACCTGCATAATCTTTTATTCCTCCAAATAAATTACAAGAACAGCTACGCTAAACAGAGACTTAGACGTTGGAAGAACGAAAAGAGGGCTCCATGAGATATTGAAACAAAACCAAAGTTATCCTTCCAACCTATTTGCACAAGTGTCCCTGTCCTACAATGTACATTTAAGCTTCTCTATGAAGTGCAACTCCGTGAATTTAGAAACTGTCACATTGCGGAATATGGACATGCAGATTGCAGAGTAATATCGGAATTTTTTGAATAAAAGAACACCCGATTGGAGAATGAGGCCAACTGTCGAAGTTTGAGAAACCAGACACTTCCATGTCAGACCTGATGAGAGATCCATCAACCTTGCATGACAGGGTCGAATCCATCGTAGGTAGATTACAAAGCATACTAGCAAAATGAGAAAGATGTCCCAGTAATGATTAAGAAAAACAAAGGCACGCCAAGTTTACCTCGGAGAAATCAGCTAGCTTCAACGCAAAGGGGTAGAGCATAATAACTTGAGGAGGGCTGGATATCTATAAGACAAGATTAAAGCAACTTATAGTTAGTGCTGGCTCATGAATTATAATAATAGGTATCAAGTGAAAAGAAATAATGTTCGTACCATCTGATTCCATTTGCAACCAATCCCGTGTACAGATCAAGGCCTGTCGGGTTTCTGCACTAAGCAAACTTTGACAACTCTCAAGCACTCGTCCTCCACAACTGAATGCTGACTCAGGTGCAACAGTTGACATGGGAGTTCCCAGAACATCCCGTGCCATCATGGACAAGATTGGGTATCTTGGTGTGTGAACTTTCCACCAGTTCAATACACTGAAATCACAATTACGCGGAAAGACTGGTTCCTCCAAATATTTGTCCAAGTCTGACACTGAATTTTGATTTTGTGAAGTCTCATGCAGAAATTTGTCAAATCCCTTCAATCTGTCTCTACTATCATTGCTAGTAGTAGGTAAGCTACTTCCGGGCGCTGCTGAGCCTTCATCAACCAAAGTTGAGCAGATAGAATATGCACTGAAAAGTTCTTTAATACTATCAGAAACTTCTTTGATTCGATCGAGAGCAGTACTACCATATATTTGGGAATAGTAATACTCCACCAGCTTCATCTTAAACCGGGGATCTAAGATAGCGGCTACTGCCAAAGCCAGGCTGCACTTACTCCAATATTTATCAAATTTAGCTTTCATCTTAGATGCCAAGGAACTAAGAAAACTATCAGGGCTCTTGCACCATTCAATCAATTGGATGTGAATATCACAGATATCAGGAAAGTAAATATTTGCTGTCGGACATTTATTTCCGGGAAAGATGCTTGTGATTTCAACAAAAAGTTTCAGATAGCTGGTAATAGAACTTGTCCAATCCCACTCTTCATCTGTTATAGCTGATTCATACTCATGATCATGGTCTCGCAAGTGACAAAATACAGCCCTGTATTCCAAGGCAGTTTCAAGCATGAAGTATGTAGAGTTCCATTGAACTGGAGAATCAAGAACTAAGTTCTTCTGGCTGTTGACTCCAACATGCTGACAAATATCGTTGAATTTTCCTTGATTTGCTTGTGAAGTCTTTACATATCTAATGCTACCTTGAATCTTTTGAATTACCCCTCTAAATGCTTCAATGGCATCTTGAACAATCAAATTTAGAACATGTGCAGCAGAGCGTACATCAAACAATTGGCTGTTACTCAAGTGAGGTCTGCTTTGGGAGATCCGGTCTTTAATTCTGACAACAATATCATCATCGGTAGAACAATCATCAAATGTCATGGCAAACAACTTAAATTCAATCTCCCAGCTCATTAAGCACTTAATAATTACTTCTGAGAGCATGTCTCGAGTATGAGAAGAATCAAGTGTGACAAAATTCAGAATTTTCCTATGTAATTTCCAATCATCATCAATGTAATGAGCTGTCAAACACAAATAATCAGCATTGTCTGGCGAAGACCACATTTCAACAGAAAGGTTAATTCTCCCATGCAATTTGCTTATCATCTCAAATACTTTCTGTTTCTCTCTACTATAAATTTCAACACAAGAAATCTCGATATCGTTATTTGGCACAACTTCAAATTGTGGTTGAAGATTCTTGACAAAAACTTTGAATCCAACATGATCAACCATGGTTAATGGGTAACCGTGTAATATAATCATCCGTGCAAGATCAAGCCTACTCCTTTCTTGATCGAACTTACTACTTCCATGGCTAATAACTTCATCTCTTCTCTGATCTTGATCAAATTTAACAATTGTTGGCTTGATATACTCATCTTTTCTTTGACTTTCATCAAAACTGATATTTGAAATGGAAATGGAGCTTTCCTTTTTCCTTCTCTTTGCTGCCAGCAGTTGAGATACATCATAATTAGATCTTTTCAGACAGCGCATTAAATGATTTCTCAGGTGGGTTGTTCCACTATTACTTGATCCACTGAGTTTCTTATTACAATGAACACAAACAGCATAACATATGTCAGCCTTTCTAACTCTTTCAAAGTGATTCCATACAACAGATGTCAACCTCTTAGGTTTCTTTATAGTTGACTCATTTGACACTTCCATTGCATATAGTAGTGGTGAATCACAATCTGCATATCATGGAAAATTGGATGATAACATTGATCTACCAACTTTTATGAGAAATGGTAACAAGAGACAAACAAAAATACCAGCATAAACCAACAATACAGAATAAACAGAATTTACAAAAAACTTGACCATTCTTTTCTTGCAGAATTTACCTAAAACCTACTAAAATACCCAACATCTTTTTACTAATGTAAATTATGCCCAACCCAAGCCCAGCACTAAAAGCAAAGTAGTAAAATTACTAGAATCAGATCCCAGTCAACACACCTAGAACTCTCATGCTCCAGGAGTGACTCCAACTTCCATACAGTAATAAGTTAGTCTATGGGTCCAACCCATTACCCACACAAAATGTGTTAGGCACTTGATAAGGGCTGAATACACAGTAATGACAAATATACAACAGGACGGCCTAATTAAAGCTTAATCATGCAAGATCATTATTAGTTTGACATACATCAAAAACAAAACAAATGGGTCGTAGCAAACTCTCAAAGGAAAGGCCTAGAATAAACAAATGTCAAAAACAAAAATTCAAAATTTTACAAGCTTAATACTCCAATACATTATACTTCACCATAAGGGTTCTGTCAAAATCAAGTAATCAAACACAATTCCATGAACAATTCTCAAAGCCAAAGCATGACACGCTGAAAAAGCAATATCAAATCCGCCACTCATGTAATAATCAAAGAGACCAGATTAAACATGATGATACAGCAAAATTAATCAGCTGGATTATCTCAAAAACACAATTGAACAACTAAGAATGCCGCACCGAACTATCCAACAAAAAATCCAAAAGAAGGGGAAAAAAAGGTCATAATAGAATTGATTCTGATAATTGATTTGGGTCTTACCTAGATTGTTGAGCGAGATTAGCTTTTTAGTTATCCTTTCCTGCTCCAAATCTTCAGAGTCCGATCGGAGGATCCGGCTCCTTTAGGGTTTCGGATAGTTTCGTCGAGAGCCAAAAAGGGACGACCCGATAACGGAATCGAGAGAGAATTTGGGTTAAGATCCGAATAAAACTATACCCATATCTGTTTATTGGGAATTAATGGGTGATGGGTCCGGTCAACGGTCAATTTGAATTTTATTTTAGTTTTATTATTTAGGTAGTTGTTCGTGGGCAGGTGATTATTTTATTAATTCATTTTATTAATTGCATTTAGTAATTAAAAACATGATGTTTAAATAAAAATAATAAAAATAATATATCATCATTTTTCATCTAACTATTTTTAAAATAATAAATATAAATTGTATCACTAAATATAAACATCAAAGATGTACCAATTTATATACAAAATTATTTATAAATCAATAAATTCTACTAAATGCTCCTTATAATACAATGGTATACCTATAACTAGGGATTCTATCTTTTAACCATTCAATTTTTTTTTTTATCTAACTAATTTATTTAATTAACTTATTTACATTCTCTTAAAATTTACAATTTGTATAAAAATAATATAAGTAATAAAATATTTATAACGAATATATATTTTTATTTTATATAATAAATATTTTGTAATAAATTCTTTATATAAACCTACAACTATTTATTTTTTTAAGAGTTATTGAATTGTAGCCTATATTTAAGGCATGAATTTTAAATTTTTTAAAAAATAGTTTTTATTAGTATTATAAATTAAATTAATCAATATAGTATAAAATAATGCAAAATTTAAAAAATAAATAATAAGTATTTAGATTTTCTGAAAAATATTTTCTTTTTTTTTAATTTAAAAAATTATTATATTTTTTATTCCCCTAAAATTGTCTGCTAAGATCCGAATAAGTGGGCCCGTCAACCACCATCGAGTCGAGTCGGGTCGGATTTTGGGCCGGAAAAACGCAAAGAAAACGGAAAACAAAAACAGAATCAGGGAAGCCTACAGTGCTCTGCTTCACTCCAACTCGAGAGAATGGCGAGGAAGAAGCTGCTGTTACTGCTAAAACCCTTCGATGTCTACCCGATCATTCAATCAAACGGCTTTTCTCGCATCAACAACCGACAGGTATTCATTTCTTTTCTTCATTTCATATCTCTACCGCAAGACCACGACATTTTCTGATTCTCTACCTCGACGCTGTTCCTTTTATGCACAGGCCTCGTACATTCATTACCTCATAGTTTTCACCCTATGCTTCGTTACAGTTTTTCCCTAATGATGTTGTTTTCTTAACCTCTCTTGTGTTTTTTTTAATGCTTCGTGGTTTAAACTGGTTATGTTTGTACATTTTCGCATATGCGTATAAAAAGTATTGAAGGTGTTTGATAAAATGTTCAATTAACTTGGTATCTGCTCTAATCGTCAATGTACGCTTGGGAACTGAGGAAATAAGAAATGGTGTAAGTGTAGGTCGGGAATTGGTTTTGTATCTTCTCTGAACGTTAATTCTTCCTGCTCTCTTTTGTTGTTTATTCTGATGGTATCAATGTGGTTAGATCATGAAAGTAGAGTAAAAACACGTATAAGTTAAAATGTGCTATAATGAATTTTTTCTTCGCATAATACTAATTGTTTTAATCTTAATTAAGAATATTCTATTGGAGATATCACAGGTTTTTCAGTATCTAGAAAACAGGCGCAGGGTTCACAAGGATGCTATAAACATCTGCCAGGAAGTATTGCGGAAAAAGTCTGTTTATTGGGAACCAATTCTCCGCAACAATTTGTCACAACCAATTTGTAACGTGGATTTGGTTGTTACTCTTGGTGGTGATGGCACACTTCTGCAGGCCAGCCATTTTGTAGATGACTCAACTCCAGTTCTAGGAGTAAATTCTGACCCCACCCAAGATGATGAGGTTAGTTAATACTTTTCCATCTTTCGGTGCTCTTGTAGACTCACAAAATGTCTGTCTTCTCCAAATCATCTCATTTTGTTGTTATGTATTGGGCATGGACAACAGCTCATTATTTCTTTGTTTGTGTTTGGGTAGGTGGAGGAATTCCGGGATCAATTTGATGCGACCAGAAGCACTGGCTATCTGTGTGCAGGAAGTGTTCAAAACTTCGAACAAGTAAGACTATATAAGATAACAAAAAGCAATGAAACATTGAACAGTAAGAATGCGTAGTTTGTGAAAGTATGATCTTAATATCTCAATTAGTAAATTTTACTTTTTTTGGAGTCTAGAAATAATCTCTCATCGATTAGTCCACCTTTGATGATGGCTATATCGGGGTATTTTTATTATATGCGTAAACTTGGTATCTTACCTTCCCCACCCAACATCCTCTGAACAAGCATGTTGTTAGATTACACAAGTTTCTTTTATTTGCATTCATCACGACATTCTCACCTTTATATTCGTTGTACTTTAATATTTGAAATCTTATTCTTATTATTGTTTCTGTAATGCTATTCAATTTATGCTAATTAGGACAAAGCAAAGAGCAGTTCTTCTCTAGGTGAGGAATTTCCTGCTTTAATTCTTGGTCATGGGACAGGTATTAGATGACATCTTAGAAGGCCAAACAACTCCTTCTAAACTATCGAGGTTGTCAATATGTTTGAATTCAAAGCAGCTGCCCGTGTATGCTCTCAATGACATTTTGGTTGCACATCCATGTCCTGCAACAGTTTCTAGATTCTCATTCAGGCATGCCATTTCTCTTGTACTTGAATCAGAAAGCAACTATAATTTATGTTCAACTTCTTAATCATAACCATTATATTGCAGAATTCAAAGGAATGGTCAGCCGTGTTCACCACTGGTTAACTGTCGATCCAGTGGTCTCAGAGTTTCAACTGCAGCTGGATCTACAGCTGCAATGCTCTCGGCCGGTGGGTTTGTGATGCCTATATTGTCTCAGGATCTCCAGTACATGGTGAGAGAGCCTATCTCTCCTGGAGCCTTTTCTGCCCGGATGCACGGATTAGTGAAATCAGATGAGTCAATGGACATTGGATGGTGTTCAAAAGAGGGTTTGATATATGTTGATGGTTCTCATGTCTTCTATTCTGTTCAAAAGGGGGATGCAATTGAGCTCTCTTCTAAAGCCCCAGTTTTGAAGGTTTACATGCCCGCTCATTTGTCATCATGAAACTCTGGAAGACCGTTAAAAGTCCAGTGGGGAACCGATTTTAGGTATTGTTCAATTTTTTGTTATAAGGATTTCCCTCATCGATTAGTCCACCTTTGTTGATGAGGAAAATCAATCCCAGAAGCAGGAGAATCTAGAATAATAGCAAATAACAGGCTATGTACAGTTATCATTATCTGAGGAGGAATAGATTTGATAGCCTTGTATATATTTTCAATATGAAAGGCAAATGGTGATTACAAGAGGTGAGTCACAGTTGTTGTCAGCTGCTAGTACACTAAAGCAACATATACCAAGTCGGCAAACAAAACTAAAGTTACGAAAACTATAGGAACGGAAATCACATCTGTTTTCTTTTCTTCTCCTCTTATCTCTAAGAGCAGTCGGAAAAGTAAATGAAGGATTCTTATCATCATAATAAAATGTCCAACATTGCAATTGGTTAGTCCAGAAAAGAGCAAGTCTTCCATCAGTCTACAACCTGGAAAACCATAATTTTGTTAACATTTCCAAAAAAGAGTCAACTATGTGAATGAATGGAGTTTAGTTTGTCATTACGTGAACAATGGAGGGCGGCTACGAGAGAGCTGGGGTCGTTTTATGGGAGAGATGATCAGATTTCTTAGGGTCATTGATGGGTTGCCAGCACCGCCTCCAAAAACTGAATGACCACCACCGGACCTTCTATTCCCAGCATCAACAGGAATAGCTGCTTGTTGTGCTGGTGAGCCAGTCGAGAAGTCAAAAGGACCAGAGTTGTTACTATTTTGTCTTGCTGGCCACACATCTTCTCTAGGTCCTGGAGTTGCAGGAGACAAAATGGTCCAATCTGCAACAAATAAGTCAACTTGATTTGGAGATACTTAAGCAAAAATAGGTGGCTAGGCAAAACTTTCCTTCACAACCTTGGAAGCTAACGTTATCAGTAAGGTAACTCAAGGAAACTTCTGATTAAGAAAAGAGCAGGACTACCTTTTCTAATGGGATCTCTGTTTTCCATCATGTTAGTTGTTGGGTTTGAAAAAATATCTGGTTCATTTCGGAAAAAACTGTTTGCAGGTTGAATAGCCGATCTTTTCAATGACTCGTACTCGTTCCTCAATTGGTCATACATTTCATCAAGCTTCCTTTTCTGCCTGATATTCGTAATTAACAGTAGTTGCTATAAATCCAAAAATGAATACCAAAAGAAAACAAAACGTTTTAGAGAACATATATAGACTAGCCTTGACTTCTCAGAAAACTTTTCCTGGAGCTCTTGTTTATCCTTGGACACACTTTCCATCTCCTGCTCCATCATCTGACACCTCTTGGCCATTTTCTGATATGCAGTATGCACTTGCTCCAGCTTTTCTGTGAACTTCTGTTGCATTGTCTCACATTTCTGTCGGCATTGAGATACAATTCTGTTCATCTTATACTGCATTTCTAATTCCTTTTGCCCAATGTAAAACATTACACTTCGATAGGCACTCTTCATTACTGAGATTGATCAAGGAACATTCAAGTCCTTCACAAGTATCTTTTTGAAGTTATGAGAGTCCTTCATCCCACTTATTTAGTAACTATCACAGATGACTACTAAAAAAGTTGTGTCAAATTAACAGCAATGACAAATTAATTTCACCAAAAAATGCGTTCCCAAATCTTAATTTTTTGTCCAACCAAATAACTGGTAACAAGTAGAAAAATAATCAGCTAAAACACTTAAAAAGACATAACAGGATACAAATTTGCGGAGATATTCCAGCCATGGCCATCTGCAAGGATGTAGAAGTGAGAGTAAGTGACTCAGAAATTTTTTATGACCAAAAAATACGTAAAACATTCTGAACACAAAAAACGTACGGGAGCAAAGACAATCTAGTATAGAATGCAAGATATACTATTCCAAGATAAGTACTTGCTTACATTTATCCATTCATCATTTGGGTTGATATCAATGGGTTTCATTAGACTGAGAAGAGAAACCAAGATAATAATTAGAAGTGGAACTTTCGAACATGCCATGAAATCCGAACGAGATATCAAAAAACTGCTGAAGACAGTATCCCATAGTCTAGTACTTAGAATAAAAAATAAGAACTTCCATGCAGCAGCATTTGATTGTATTTGTAAACCTTCAGAGTCTAAAGAGAAAATGCATTCAGGGGCATCACATTGTAAATCCTCGTCATAAGACCTAGTTATGTTTATATAAAAACTATAGTTATCAAAATTCTGATTTTTTTTTTAATTTTTGCACAACTATGATGACTGACTGTTCACGTACATTATTAAGCACCTTGGGCACTCGAAGAGCAACCTAAAACGCATTCAAGGACAAAGTATGACCAAGAAATATTTCTCACCTCTTGGAAAGTACCTGATCACAAATCGGACATGCAGCATCATTGCTGAGGATCTTGGACGCATCTTCGGTACCTTCTCACATTGTTAAGGGAACCATATGCATTCATATACCAGAGGGATACAGAATGTGAATAGTGAAATGGGTGGCACCCATTAGGATACACAAGATGTGACCACAGATCGTAGAAATGGCTCGTCCTTCCAATTCTCGCCAGCACGCATTGCATCGCATCTCAACTCCTGGTATAAGTTCCCAGATCTGCATAGCGCATGAACCAATATATAACAATGGAAAACTAAAGTGAGGTTCTAACAATAGGTACATGCTTCGTGCTTGTTTCCGTGGCAATTAAGGTGCATAAAAATGGTCCAAGTACAACGAGAATACTGACAAAGAGAATAGAATTCTTTCATGTCTGCACTGAAACACTATGTATATATGATTTTATTGCTGCAAATGGAGACCAGGTCAATGGAACCTAAAACATGCTTGAATCATCTCTATTTGTCTTTTTGTTAAGCAGGATGCTTAAATATAGATGAAAGAGAGGCGTAACTCCAGGATTTGATTCGGAAGAATTTCTCATAAGTCAGAGCATTAATTCTCAACGAAAAATGCACCGTAAATTTTTGGATGAAAACCAGGATACCTTACCCAGAGAATGTCTTGCCAAAGAACCATTCATTCAATAGATATCAACACAAAGGACATAATGAAATTTTAAAACTTCTTTTCGATTTGGTTCAACCAAGAGCTCCAACAGGTTGTTCCTGCGGAGCTTAAAGGATTCAGATCTTAAAAATCGCAATGATACAAAGCACCAAAAAAGCTCAAATTAGGGAGGAGTTCTACATAAAATGCATGAGACTAGAACCAAAACTACGTTTGGATCTATTCCTCCCATCTCCAGAGTTCTTGACGGAAATTAATACCTATAGGTATCCATTGAGGCCATCCAAGTAACATTTCGTTTTCAACACCAAATGTGAAAATGTAAGCAAGAAAAGGCATCTAAAAACCCTAAGATTCAACAGAGCTGAACTATGTATATATCGTTGAACAGTCAGAATTAACTAGGATCTCGATTTTGAAAACAATTACCGGATCCTAAAGATTGCAAAATGCATGTTTACCAATTTCCATTTTCCTTCCTTACAATATCTCCGCAACCTAAAGACCGAAAAAAGAGAAAAAAACGAAAACAGATCTGTGCGCTTGCACTGCAGGGTTTTACATCGAGAATCAATATAAATTCGTTGCAAAACGTCGGTTTCTCCCTCCTCGATCAGGTTCTCAAATCAATCCCTTAAAATTATAGAAAAATGGTAACTATCAACTTTAAACTCTTAAAATATGCACAAGAACACCCGAAACAAATCGTTAAGAAACTCGAAATCATCTTCGACAATTTCGTAATTACCTCAATAGAACAAGAGCAAACGCGGGAGTCGAAGGCAGAAATTTTGGCGCTAACCGTCGGGTATGTGCGTTGGAGGTTTGAACTTCGAATGAAGAATTTAAATCGGAAATGGCGGGAAAGAAATGAAAAAATCGGCCGTTATCATTAGAGGTTTGAAACATCTGCGTTTTGTAATCAGGATGAATTAATTACATATAATTTCGTCTCATCAATTATTTTAATTTAATTTTTTTGAACGAATAAATCTAATTTAATTATATTATAGGGTAAAGTTCTATTGAGGTAATTATATTATAGGGTAAATTTAATTATTATTATTATTTCTTATGCTTTCCAATTTTAGGATTCATTTATATTTGTTTCAATTTCTAAACAAAAATAGTGATAAGTTAAAGTGCTAAATCAAAACAATTTTTTTTTTTTTGATATAACTACAAATTAATAGCTAAAAACTCGTAATTTTTATGTATAATAAAAAATATGTGAAACATAAACATGTTTTCTGTATTATTTAATTTAATTTATGTATTTTTTAAAAAAAAATTAATTATATTTATCTTATTATTAACTGTCAACACCATTAATTTAAATTTTATGTATTAATAAATTTGATACGTGATGTATTCTGAGTTGAATATCACGTTAAATATAATATAATATTAAAAATATTATATGTAAAATAATTTAATTTAATTTATGAATTAAAAAAAAACTAATTAAAATTTCTAAAACCAATTCCTCGATACCTTTCTTTCTCTTATTCTTCGTCCCCCCCCCCCCCCCCCCCCTATTTGATAGCTAAAATCAATAAATGAATAATGAAATGTAAGTAAAAAATATAGAAAAGAGATTTTAATAAATAATCAAAAATTAGAATGCTCATTTATGTGGAATATTAGAACAAGTTGAGCTAGATATTTTGAAACAAGTAGGCAAGTTGTTAGTAATAAGATTCATAAAATAAAGTCGAAGCTATTTGCAAGTTGGTTGTATCAAAGTAAAATGGTCCTTTTAGTTTTTTAATTTTTAAATAAATAGAAAGTTATATATATTTTTAGAATTATATTAGAATGTAATACTATTTTAAGAAATAATTTTTTTTTTAAGAAGTGAAATATTTTAAAAAATCAGATTGTATTAAAAAGTAAGTACATTTAGAAATAAATGTACCATAAGATATAAAATGCTTTAAGATCTATCTTAAAGAAGTAAGTTTAAAGGTTAAATGACTATTTTAAAAAGATAAATTTATGTACATGAAAAATATATTTTTTTAGAGTGATATATTTTATGATTTTTTATAAAAAAAGATTAAAGTCAAAATTTTAATTTATTATAATTATTTTAATTAAAAAATTTAATTATTATAAAATATGAAGTATTATTATATTAAAGATTTAGGGATCAAGTATTATTATAGGTGGGATAATATCGTCCTTGCATAGAAAAGAAGAAGGTTTAATAGAAACCCGTGGTTGGTCAACACTTTTCATCGCTTTCCAAGCCAGACACGCGACGACACCGTTTCACGACAATAAATTGAAAGCCGCGCTGTGCTGATTGAAGCATTGAAGGAGTTTCCAGAAACCACTCACGTGAAGCGCGTCATCACGCGCCTTCCATGCACACAACTTAATGCTGGGAAGGAATCGTCATTGGATGTCAGCTCGACTCGGCTCGGCTCGGCTGTTTCTCGTTTCCGTACAGACACAGCTTGATTGGACACAGGAAACGCGGTCTCCGGTTTTAAAACACATTTAACTGTAAACTGCCACGTGTCCAATAGATATTCACAGCCTCTGCAAATATCCTCTCCCCCTACTCCAATAAGATTGATCATTTGGTCAAACCATAAACCCTCCTCCATACCAGGCAGTGGAGGCTCCACCACCTTCTCCTCTTTCCATAAGATCTTTCGCTACCGAAAAAGGAGAAAAACAAAAACATTTTTTGATTTATTAATGGAGGATTGAGAAACAGAGGAGATACACGTGGACATATATACATACACAAAGAGAGGTGGGAGGGTTTCGAGATTTGGAGGGAATAGGGAATTATAGGTTGTACACAGCAGCAGAGATTTTTCTAGTTTTTCCACGACTTTAGAGAGTGGATTGCTCTGGATATTTGAATTTGCACAACGGAGAGAGAAAAGTAAACGCAGGATTTTACAGTGTCCCAAAGTTCTAGATTGAGAAGCTTGTGGAATCTAGAGAGATGAAGATTCAGTGCAACGTGTGCGAGGCGGCGGAGGCGAGCGTTCTGTGCTGCGCGGACGAAGCGGCTCTGTGTTGGGCGTGCGATGAGAAAGTACATGCTGCCAACAAGCTAGCTAGCAAGCACCAGCGGGTTCCTCTCACCAGTTCTTCCTCACAGATGCCAAGATGTGATATTTGTCAGGTACGTAATTCTACCTGCTGTTCTTTTCTATTATACTGATGCAGTCTGTCTATGATTCGTACCTTCGTTTAGATATGGTGAAGGCCCCTGTTTGTCGTATAGAGAGAGTCGATAAAAAAATCTAGAAACTACATACCAGGCTGTTTTGATTGTAGGGGGCTGGATTCGATTATGCCGTACACGGCGGGTATCGTGGATGCTTTTGCCTTTGAAGCTTTGTAGGAAGAGATGGTTTTGGTTTCGCGTCTTCCTCATTGGGGGTGTTGCTATGAACTAGTGATTCATGGATTTTTACTTTGTGTTAACAGTACTGTTCCGCAACTTGAGTGACTCATCTTATTTTAATTTAGGGGTCGTATCTAAAACTTCATCTCATTTTTTGCATTTATATCAGATAGGACCATGCACTTTCAGTTGTAGCAACGTGCATTTTGTAATACATGTTCTCTTTGCTGTAATTCGAGCAAATCCAATACCACCACCTTCTCTGTGCCCTGAAGAGAGGAGGTCTGAGATCGTGCCTTTCAGCTCGTTAACTTCAGTTGGGTAGGTAGTGGCTCAATAAAAAATGAATTATTAGCCCGGTGTTGTTCTTCTAGCTTCGAAGCCGAGTAGGAAATTCTGCTGTTTACGGGTGACCCTCTTTTTGATGGGGCTGCTTTTCTTAATCTAGTTGACAAATTATTTTAAGATCCTAGTTATTTTTGCGTGGGAGGCAACCCTTTGGGTGGCTCTAAACGCTACTGTCTTTTTTCTCTCCAAAATGGAGATATTCAGAGGACAAACATGATTCTTCAAACCTATCAGAAAGATGTATTGAGGAAATTGAAGTATATGTACATTTGAGTTTATTACTAGTCTATAGTGTCTACGAGGAATGTCAAGAAGTTAATAAAGAAGAGGCCTTTCAAGATTCTTAGTGGAAGTCAGGACAAGCTGATTTAGTTTTTGTTGCTGAAAACACATGAAATTTGGTATAGTATGAAAAGGTTTCATGGAAATGGAAATAAAATAAAAGTTCACATAAGGATGCGAAGCTAGTTAAATGCTTATGTTGGTATGCATTAGGCTTCTACAATGGACAATAAAATAGCCTTCTACTTGTGAGCAATGATAATTTTTGGATTTACATGGAGCGGTGAGTAGTGTTGAGGATTATTTGGTGATGTGTTTGATCATGGCAAACAATTAAGCTGAGTATGACTTAATCAGTAATGAGAAATTTAGTTTGGGCAATTAGGGTCTTTCTAGTTTATAATTAGTTTAGGTTTCTTTTCAAGGTTTTCCTATTTAATTTGGGTATCTTATTGTATGGAGTTTTATTGTTTTTAGAAGTCTTACATAGATTTTTCTTATGATAAGTGGACTATTCTGTTTTTAGTCATTTTTGTGTTAAGTTCATATGAAGAGAGGCTTTGCATTAATATTAATCAGGTTTCTCTAGAAATAATAGAACTTTTGCAGATCACTCTCAAATTCTTGGTTATCATAAAAAATAGTGAAGGCCACTGCTTGAGGAACTTAACAGTGACTGCCATAGTTTCTCTCCCTTTCTTCCACTCCGTCAAACCAGAAAATGCAAATAGATCGATATGCTGGTGAATGAGGGCTTATGTTTTTCCTGCTGAAGGTTGTTTGGGTTTAAAGAATTTGGAAGTGGTGTAGAAGGGATTCTGGCCTTTGAGTTGCTACAGGGCTAGGATGAGAATGATAGGTAAGGGGTGGTCATGGAGCCCTTGCTATTGTCATTGACAGTGGAGATTCGTTGTTTGGATCTAAAATGCTTTATTCGATAGAATGTGGATCTTTATGTGTTGATTAACTAACCTGTGGATTCTTTATCTGGTTAAGTTCCTGCTTCTTTTTCCCTCTTATGATGTGAATAGAAAGGCATGTTTTATTTGAAACATTACTCACAGCGTACTGATGTAGGATGTTTGATAGTTTCAGTAAGCTGGTTATGAAATGTGTAATATTTTTTATTTGTCATACTGGAGTGTCTTAACTCCTCTCCTGTGATTTTTTTTAATCCTTCTTGATTTACCCTGATACAGAAATTGATCACTTATCACAGGAAATGGCTGGCTTTTTCTTTTGTCTGCAAGATAGAGCTTTACTCTGCAGGAAATGTGATGTGGCTATACACTCTGCAAATGCCTATGTTTCTGCTCATCAAAGGTTTCTGCTAACTGGAGTGAAAGTAGGTCCTGAGCTAACTAACCCCGGTGCATCCTCTTCCATTTTGAAGTCTCCTTCTAGTGAGAGAACATCGGAAAAAACTTCATATTCTTTGTCCAGAAGGGGCACCCAGACCATATTAACTGGTGAATCTAATCCGGTTCTACCCACAAATGCTGGTGGAGTTAGCGACTTCGCAACTACAGAAGTGTCATTTGCTGGTGGTTATGCAGCAGGAAATATTCCACCTTGGCAAATGGAGGAATTTCTTGGATTAGCAGACTTAAGTCAGACTTATGGTTACTTGGACAATGGGTCATCCAAGGTATTATAGTTAAATTTACATTGGCGATATCGATATGTAGCATAGCAGTACTGTTATCTACATGTTACTGTCCTTATCTTGATCATGTGTATAGTTCCATGAATGTCATCTTCTTTGGGCATAAATGATAACTACTACTATCATAAAGGTTCAGTTCCTCGGGTAGTTGATCTTATATGGTCAAAGTCAGCCCATCTTTTCTCCCACTGCCTTCTCCTTGTGCTTAAATGAAAATAGGGAGAAACTTATCATCTGAAAAAAAGAAAAAGACTTGCCATAAAACAAAGGAAACACGGGCCCCAGCCTTCCTGCATACACAAGCATTATGTGAGTCATTATCATGATTATTACTCTATAGGATGGTAAAAGAAGCTTCATAGGTGCTTGGAAATATTTGACCTGGTTATATAGCCTAGAGGCAACAGCTTTTATACTGCTCCGATGCAGGTATATACTAATGAGGACATTGTAAGTAACAATTTGCTTGATTTGGGTAGCATGGGTTACTTTGTACTGGTGAATGTGACTGTTCACGACACCAATATTGTAGCACAACTTTGAAAATCCTGTTCATGGCACTAATTGTGTAGCACAATTTTGAAAATCTGCTCGTAAGTACTATTCAGTGTTTCCTCCATTTGTTTTGGTGAGTTTCGAGGGCATTACCTGAAATTTGATGTTTAACTCGAAAGAGATCTCCATGGATAGTGAGAACAACTTATCTGTCATTTGTATTACCAGCTGGCTGCATTGTGAGCTTCTCTTAGTTACACTTGGATTGCAGTTAGGAAGTAGCTGAGGGGCCTCTGGCCCAAATAATTAGCCAGATGGAAACTTGGACTTTTTTTTGGTCGTCATCCTTGTCATGAGGTGTAGATTTAGCCAAAAGTAACACAAATCATTAGCTGCTTCATTTAAGATCTAAGGATTCTTGTCTTAGATGATATAAAGTTTTCTCAGCTTTTAACGAATAGCGTTAAGTTATTGATGTATACAAGTAATGCTAAAACCAAAATTATCCTACAATGTAGAGAAACAGAGAAAATTATGGAGGAGAATGGAAGACTAGACAGAGAGAAATAGGAGATAAAGGTGAAGTCTTTAGAGGGAGCATAGAAGAATATTAAGTAGACATGAAGAACAAGAAAGATAAAGGGAAATCTTGGATATCAAGAATCAAAGCAATTACTCACGTTTGTATAATAATCATGAATAGTTTATTTAATAACTAAGGTAAGTACATCATATTTATAGGCACCAAAATATAATCATAATAGAAAATTTTAATTTTACAAAGTAAGAAAAGAAGCTAATTAATTAAAATAATCTATAATAAAAAATAACTAAATAAGATTCCTAATAAAGTAGGAAATAATAAACTTGTTCTGTGTAGATACTAATTCCTAAATTGACTAAATACCGTAATAATATATAAACATTAAAATTAGATAAATATATCCTATTATATAAATATGTTTAGTTAGGATTTTCCTGTTCTGCATTAATTAATTTTCTCAGAAGTTGCTTTGAAATGTTTTTTGGTGCCCATATATTTAGAAGTAAAACAGCATTTTCATTTGGAAGCTTGTTCTGTGATGAATAATATCTACTTCCGTTGAAAAGTAGTATGGATGTTGCTGACAGGAACAATAATGAGCAGGACATGAACAAGGCTGAAGCACTGATATCTGTTTTATCTATTACCATAGACATGAAGCCCTTGTCCAAACATGTGCTCCACATGTTTAACTGTACTAGCATTTATCAGATGTATCTAACATAATTCAGTAAAACTGATCATGCGACGTGTATGACTGCTATTGGCAAATTTCATGTATGTTTGAATTTTGTTACAACCAGATTATCAGTTGACCTGCCAACTCTTATCCATAAAACATTCATCAGTTTGAAACTTAGTACACTGTTATTGTATTCAAATATTGGTGACGTTCTGTTCCTAAGATGTTTCATTCTCTGGTTGTGGATGTTGACAGGCAGATAGTAGCAAGCGAGGAGACTCTGACAGCTCCCCAATCTTGAGATCTGCTGAAGAAGAATTAGATGATGATGATGATGAGTGCTTGGGCCAAGTGCCAGAGACCTCCTGGGCAGTGCCTCAGATTCCTTCCCCTCCTACAGCATCAGGGTTATATTGGCCAAAGAATTTTCGGAATTACTCCAATGCTTCAGTTTCTGTACCTGATATATGCCACTCCAGTGGGCAAAATCCTCAAAGTTGTCATTTCAATGAGAGAGTCTCTAAACGGAGTAGGCAATTCTAGCCTTCCTGGAAACTTCATTCTTACATTGGAAGCATAGGCAGGGCCTTAACTGGAGAGCGGCAAACTAGTGCTCCAGACTTGGAGGTGTTTCTTAGAGATTAGTTTGGTTTGTAAGAGGGAAGCAGAATAAATTTGTACAAGTTTACTGGGAATCAGTAATACCCTAAACTAGTAAGCTAGTCTTTGAAGACACATTTGTATTCTGTGATACTCAATAAATTTACTTGAAAAAAAAAAAAATAATCCAATCAACTTGATAGATATTAATGATTTTATTACTAATAAAATTATAAAATACAATTTGAGTTGTCTCCATACTCCGATTGAATTTTCAGGATTTGTTCAGTAATGTCATTATACTCTTGAAAATGTTTTGTGATATTGATAGTCTGAGTTAAGAGTGTTAGAGACTTTTTAGGTATTGGAATTATAAGTTTAATGAGTTTATCTCAAGCTTAACAGCCTGTGGTTCATTTTATAATTTATCTATATATTTTTATGGTAGAACTAAATTGAACCAAAATGTCAACAGAATTGGCTGCTTTGGCCTCTTTAGTCACAGTTTCCATTGCTATTTATCACCTTCATCAGCTGCCTTTACCACCGTGTTCACCTACATATCCCTCTTATCTTTACAGCAAAAACAATTTTAAGTTTTGTTTTGACAGCGAGTAAACACGTTCTTGAAAATTCATATTTGGTTTCGTTGAAGTTTAATCTTGAGTTTAGTCAAAATGAAATTAAATCTAATTCGTATCTTATTATCTATTTATAATTTTCTGAAATATTTTGTCAAATAGACAATCTGTCTGAAAAAAATATTTTATAACAGTTAAATTATTTTAATTATAATAATCACAATAAATTAATATCTAATTTAATCTTTTACATTTAAAAAAAACTTTTTTATTAAAAAAAACAAGTAAATATCCTACCTAACCTATTTCATTGCAGAAAAAAGAAAAAAATGGGATCCTGTCTTGGCCAAACGGCCAAGGGTTTTCACCAACTCAAGCATCAAGGATCCTCTGAAAAATTTTCCATCCCATTTGAAGACATTTGGTCTGGCTACAACCAGTCTATGTGGGTGTGCGGGAGTTCATCTCCCTCTAGAACAAAAAAGAAATATTCCATGGGTTAGTTCAGTGTCCAAGATTATAAAACAGTAGGATCTCCTAACAAGATATTGATTAAGGGTAAAAACTGATTCCACTATAGACATGGAAGCTTTATCTGGATATCTATCTCACTCTAATTTATATGTTACCGTACAAATGTCTGTAAAATATTAACACTAGTAGAACTACCGGTCTCCCCGATCTCCACTTGTTTCTTCAACTGCTCGGTGCTGTCCAATTAGGAGGAAGGCGGTCAGACATCACCGGAGGCATGGCTCGGACATTGATATCAATTGGGAATAAGCGATATTGAATATCAAGCTCCCTGAAAATCTTAGCCATCTCTTCTAGCAACAAACCTCTCCTTGCCCACCTCTCTCCCATGTCTTGGTGGTTCATCCTATGAGTCAGCCATAGGGCCATCCTCACTCGGTTCAATTCTTCCATTTCTTTGAATATGATCATTGGTGCTGGATACCAGTGCTCCTTCTTGTTCTCAACATAACTGTGTTACAACAAAAAAACATATAATAAAGAATTCATTAAAACATATTTGAGAGCAGAAAATATCAAATAGTTAAATATATGTGGTGCATGGTGACAGAAACATATCAAGATAAACTTTCTTACACATCATAAACTGACTAGGGTGATCATTATTGAGGCAAGATGCATGAGGTGAAGATAAATGTTTTATCTAAAAAAGG